ATGGAAGTGCTGTGATGGTGGGATTCTATGGAAACTAGGCTCAAATTGAGTTAGGTTGGCTTCTCTGATGGTCGAGGTCGAGGTCAGTACAAATAGAGGTCGAAAACCAAACTCACTGTGAGCCCTGCTAGGAAGGAGGGTCCGGGAGACAGCCTCTGAGGGTCTCCCTGTTCTAAGATCCTGTGGTTCCACCAACCCATGCCAGGCAGTCGCTCACCATCTCCACAAAGCAGCAGCTCTCTGGAACTAGCTGGAGAGTATCCAGAACTCCTGAAGCTTGTGTCCCGCCTCCAGATTCTGATTGAATTTGTCCTCAGGATGGCCTGGACTTTGGGCTTTTAAAAATCTTCCCAGGTCTCTCTAAGGTGCAGCCAAGGTTGAGACCCATTGGTAAAAAGATAGCACATGCACCAGGCCCTGTGCCAAGTGCATTATGTATGTCATCTCCCTCAAGCCTCATGATAATTCCCATTTTCCAGATGAAGAAGCACACTCAAAAGGGGAAGTGACTATCCAAGACCAGAGAGCACTGAGAGCTGCCATTCCATCCCAGGGCTGTCATATTTCAGAGCCCAGGCTGGCCACCTCTTTAATGATCGCTTACGAGGCAGTGTTGAGTGGGATACAGGGATACATCTCAGGCAGGGCCTCAGGAGCCCTTGATAACCTACTTAGGGGTCCCCTGTGCCCATCCTGGCCCTGTGCAACCCACAGCATCTTGACTAGTGGGACGAGAGCACTGGCAGGTGTCAGGGAAGCCCTGGGGAATCTGCCTTTTCATGTGGGAGAGCTGGAACCTGAGACCTTGCACTCAGAGGGGTTGAATCATGCACTTACCTTCCCGCTTCTCCTAATGAATGGCAGTCTTTCAACCTGGCACAGAGCATCAGATGAGATTTTGTTCCCAGGGCATGGCAGAGTGGTTGGGAATCACATTTTGTTCACCAGGTGTTTTGGGTTTATAGCAGACTCAGAAAAAAGTCAGAAGCCATCCATAAAAGAGGGCCAGAACCTTTTTATTTGCAGTTTCATTGAAATTTAGTGAAAGGCAAACCCAGCAGGTACCTGTTTTACTGGCAGTAAAATGAAATTGGGCAGCAATTATTTAAAAGGAGTTGGAGTTGTTTAAATCTAAAATTTAGTGGTATGTGTATATTTTAAGAAAAAGCTTACAAGGCTTGGGGATTAGGGTTGAACTGTTTTTGATGAAAATGACATGGAAAATATTTTCCTTTCTTATTTTAAACCTTCCCCTTTGCTGTTTGTTTTCTAAATTTAGCAGTCCACAAAGCAGTAAGCAAATCTAGCTGAGGAAAAATCTGAAGCAAGTTAGGCAAGTCTCAAAGTTTCACTGAAGTGATAGACTGAAATAGAACTCCCCAAGATGAGAAGTCATTCTTCCCATTTTATAGAGCACAGTCATTATTTCAACTTAAACAACTTCAGATGTGATTGACCTTATTGGACATGGAAGTGCGGGATTTGATATTCCCTAAAAGGACAAAGACTGGGGAGAGAAGTGGCTGCCTAAACTTCAGCCAAGAACTGTCTGCAGGGGGCTGGAAGGATGTGGGAGGCTCATCAGGCTGTCACTCAAGAGCTCCCCAGCGATCATTCCTCACCATGGCAACGCAAGGGCTTCTGAAGCATGGTCCAGATGGAACCCCCACCCCAAAGTCTGAACACAGCCCTAATGTGCTGGGGACTGCTAGCAATGCCTGACCCAGCCCTAGACTTCTGCCACTGGGCCAAATGCCAGAGACCAGCCCGATGTCCTGGAAAGGATGGATGTCGTCTGCACTGTATCGTTGCCACCAGTGGCTCATTTGGAGGTTTTTACGCTTGATTTTGTATTTTACTTTTGGAGAATGGTGGACAGAAGGACTGATATCTGACTGATATCATTTGGTTACTAGAGCAGGACACATGACTCAAACTAGTTTAAGAAGAAGAAAGGAAAGAAAGCAAGAGAGAGAGAGATAACTGACTCAAAGGACCCATATCTTATTAGAGATTTTTCTTTTCATCTCTTGATTCTCACTGTTTCTTGGTTTCATTCTTTGGACAAGATTTTCCCATGTAATGGGCAAGAAGATCCTCTTTCTCAGTAGTAGAGTCCTTGCCTAGCATGGGCAAGGCCATGGGTTAGAACTGATGAAAAGTGCTCATCATATAGAAGAGTCTCAGGGAAGCGTAGTAGCTACTTGGGAGGCTGAAGCAGGAAGACTGAGAGTTTGAGGCTAGCCTGGGCAACTTAGCAAGACTCTGTTTCAAAATAAAAACATTTAGCTGCACGTGATGGCACGTGCTTGTAACAGTACTCCGGAGGCTGGGGCAGGAGGATTGCTGTGAGTTCGAGGCCAGATGGGCCATCTAGTAAATTCAAGGCCAGCCTGAACTACATGTCAAGATCTTGTTTCAAAAAACCCAACCAACCAAACAAACAAATAAAATGAAAAGTTTTAAAGGGGTTAACAATATAGCTCAGTAGTAGTCATTCCCTAGTGAAAAAAAAAAAAGAAATCTTATATTATGATTGGCCCAGATTGAATCAAATGGCCATTCTGGGCTAATCACTACATCTAGGGGTGCAGCGATCAGATTGGCCTAGCCCCAGTCTGGTGCTCACTCCTGTGAGAATGCTTGTGGCTTGGTGAGACAAGGACACTGAATGACATTCTCACCAGGAGCACGTGATAGGAAAGGAGATCCCTAAGGCAGCGAAAAGCACCCCACCCCCTGCTTGGTCCATTGAAGTTCCAAGTGTAGTAGTGTTTAGCCAAGACAGGGAGTGTGGAGGGAGGCTTGGGGTCGTGGTCACTTATCACTCCTCTGTCCATCAGCTATAGCAACATCAGCATCAACAGTCCAACCCCTGGTTCACCTGGAAGAGGCTTGGGCTACTCAGAAGCTGTGTGCCTGTGGAGGGAAGCCTAGACTTTTCCTGAGAGCAGTATTGAGCCTAGAGGGGGAGCTTCTCTAGAGAGCACAGCCTAAGCAGAGATTGCCTGTAGCCTGGAAGCTTTGAGTGAGGCGCAGGAAGGCTGCAGGCTGAGGAACCATCTCAGAAGGAGTCCTCCCACTTCCTGGCACATAGACCATGCTCAGTGGAGCTTTGTTGAATGAATGAATGAATGAATGAATTCAAAGATTCCTAACAAATGAATGAATGCTTAGGTGATCCTTGGGACCCACTGAAGTGTGCCCCAGGGCCCGGGCAGATGGCTCTCAGTCAGTGTTGATTGGGCAGCAGGGGAGTTTGAATGGAGAACTCAGAGGATGCCTGAGCCCACAGAGTGGCCCTACGCCCTAAGTAAATAAACATGGCTGTTTCCCACAGTTGGCTTACAGGGAAATGAAATGATGTATTCTCCCTTTAGGAGCTTCAAAAATTCATTCCTCTGTATGTTTTGTTTTTTAATTTTAGCTCTTGAGGCTTCTTTCTATTCCCTTGACCCAGAGCTTGGGGGAGGCCTGCGTGGGCAGCATTATTGTCCCAGGTGGGAAGGACACAAAGGATCTCTCCTTGTCCCTTCCCACCCTCAGAGTTGGACAGCCTGGATCCTTCTAGAAATCCAAGGCTCAAGCCAGAACAGTCCTCTCCCCTTTCTCTCCCTCCTTTCTTTCTCATCTTATCTGAAATGGTTTTTGAGGCCATGAGGGGTCCCTGCCACATCTGCTCAGTCCATGGCATGGCACCAACTCAGAATACTGCAACACAGTGGCCACAGCCAGGTCACTGTCAGCATACACACCCTGAGCATTGGTGACTAGCGTGGAGCCAGCCCCAGGGCACATATGGAGATCTCCCTCTCTGGCTGTGCCCTCAGGTAGCTCCGAACAGGCTCCTCAGGTAGGGGACCACCTGGGAAGGTGACAGCACCACAGAGTGGCAGCATGTAGGAGACAGAGCTCCCTGGACCTGTGGCATTCCTGTCCAGGGAGTTGGGTTGAGGCTCTCAGGGAAACATGGGACTTTGAGCTGCTAGTGGGACTTCCCAGGGTCATCCCACACAGCAGTCCCCTCCCCCAGGTCCCACTGCCTGCTGGGAACATCCCACAGGATTAGTCCTGACCGAGTCCTCAGGCTTGGGTTCTGTGAGTGGACAATTCTCACCCTCCTTCCTGCTGCCTCTGGAGGCCCAGGGCTGCCGTTGCTGGAGGAGTTGGGATCAGAATCCACTCACATTTGATGATATTTCAGGGTAATCTGGGGGACTCTGGCCAGCAGTTTGGTCCAAGTAATAAGATGTCAGAATGCATCCATCCATCCATCCATCCATCCATCCATCCATTCATCTCCAATGTGTCCTTCTTCAGTTTCTCTCTCTCACTGAGGACCCTGGGAGCACAGGCTAGGTTGTGGCTAAGGAGGGAGAGGCTGAGCCATGGCATAGGTCATCCATCACTGCTAGCACTTAGCAGCAGGAGGTTTGGAAGATCTGATATGGGCCCACCTCAGCACCAGGCAAAGGCCCCAGAGAAAATGCCTCACTGGGTGTTGGGTCTGGTGGCTCTGGCATCATAGATTGCTTGTCCTTGCAGCAGCTGGGCCAAGCCCTGGGGGTTTCACGGTGAGGTACCCACTATGTACCTAGCACAGTGCCAGGCCAGCTTGTGCCCAGGAGACTGTCATTCTGCAGGGGCCTTGGCAGTCTCCATTCTGGTATCTAATTCCCTCAGAACACCTTGCCTTGGGGTCTGGGGCTCCCTGGAAACCTCCCCACTGATATCCAGCAAAAAGCACTGGATAAGAATATGGGCTTTCAACCTAGAATGACCAGTTTGAATCCAGACTTTACGACTTACAAGCTGTCACCTTGGATGCTTTTTAAAAAAGCCTTTTCAGCCTCAGTTTCCTCATCTGTACAGTAGGGGACAGCTGGGATAAGGTACAAATGAGGTAAAGCAGTTGGCTCCTGCCTGGTGTGTACTAAGCATTTACCACATAATGGAACCTTCCTGCCTGTGGCTCCCTCTGATGCTGACCTTTGTCTCAGGTGACAGGAACACCCTCAAAAGGCTTTGACGAGAAGGCATACCTGTCAGCCAAGCAGCTGAAGCCTGGAGAGGACCCCTACAGGCAGCATGCCTTCAACCAGCTGGAGAGTGACAAGCTAAGCCCTGACCGGCCCATCCGGGACACCCGCCATTACAGGTGTGAAGATTAATCTTAATTATTAACTTGATTTGCTTGAGGGATGCATAGGAAATTAGTAAAATACACTTCTGGGTGTGTCTGGATGGGTCTTGGGGTATGAACTTGGGGGACTGTATCTGGTCCCTGTCCCTTCCTGTCTGGCTCTTCCTGCTCTCTCTACTTCCTGGCTGCCAGGAGGTAAAGAGCTGTCCTCTACTTTGTCCTTCCTCCATGGTGCTTCTGCCTTGGAGCCGCTTACCATGGACTGAAACTTCTGAAACTGTGAGCCAAAATAAACCTCTCCTCCTTAAGTTGTATCTCAGGTATTTTGGCCCAGCAACAGAAGGATGACTGATACAGCTCATATGGATGGCCCCCATCGGGTGGACAAGAAGGAGGGTTGAGAAAAGTCCAGCACTATTCAGCTGGTTTTCTTTCCTTCACATGCATTGGTCCAGTGATTTAAGATTCAAAAGCTCTTACCCTCAGTGGCTGTCCTGATTCTTTATTTTATTGGCTGACTCATAGCCTTCAAAGGCCAAGGAAACCCCCTAGCTGGGACCAGGGTGGCCTGTGGCACCTCATCTGTCATGCTAGCAGGAATGACCTGCCAAGGACCACAACGAGGTCCCAGGCAGTGGGCAACCCAGGCAACTGAAAAGGAGCCTCTAGCCCTGGCCTGTGACAAGCCCACGGATGTCCCTTGCCTCCTGCCTCACTGCCCCACCTCCTCGGTGACTCCCAGAAACTCTGCTAATCTTGTTCTTAGTACTCCCAGCATGGAGAGTAGCAGAGGTCCTGGACCAAAGACAGGGAAGCCTCACTCCAGCCACTCCTCTGACTAGCTCCAAGTAAGAAACCAGCCTCAGACAAGTCACTACCCTTCTCTGTGAGTCAGGCCTTTTCGTGTCCTGACTGCAGCAAGTCAGCCCTCCAGTCTGTCCTCTTCCTGTTGTCACATGCAGGGACAGCCTGTCTTCTTCTGCTGCAGCGTCACCCCCAGACCCCGGCCCCGTCTACCCAGAGGCACTTACTGTCCTCGAAGTCCTGCACTCCCCTCTCCTCCCTCCTGGTCTTCCCATGTGCTGTTCCCTCTGCCTGAGCACACTTCCCCCACCCCTCTTCTATCCTTCAAGACTCAGCTTAGCGCCCTCTTCTGCCCTCTTCTCCAGGGAAGGTTCCTGGCCGACCCTGGCTGGTTCTGGGGTCCTGCTCTGAGTTCCAGCCGACTGCTCTGCTTGATGCTCCGCATGACAAACAGGAGCTGTGGGGGACCCAGCCACAAGCACAGAGCTGTCTTGTCCTGGTTGGTGGGTAGGCAAGAGTGATTTCTGAAGCAGCCACTCCCTGGCACAAAGGATGGATGTGAGAGAAAGGGGCAGAGCTGGTTCTAGCACCTTCCCCATTACTCATGGAGGCGGATCTGAGGCCCAGCGGGCTTGGCAGCTTGTGCAGGGTGAGATGGATGTGGGACAGGCGATACCTAGACCTCCGCCTCTCTGTGCTGCCAGGCCCCAGAACCCCTTCATGCTACCAAATAAGGAAGCAATTCTGTGACTGGACAACCTCTCCTCTCACCTGCAGGTCTGAACAGCCCTGTCCATGCCCCAGGGAAGTCCTTTCTTAGTCAGCCCTGGGGCAGTTCCCCTCATGTCCATCTGCTCCACCTGCAAGGTGAGATCCACACAGCTCTGCCTGCCCTTCCATGAACAGCCCTAGCCATGCTCGACCTAGGCCAGTGCAGAGCCTGGAGGATCTGCTGATCCAAAGCTGTGAATCAAGGGCCTGGCCTGGTTCATCTCTGCCTACCCTCCCAGCTCAGGGCCACCCTGAAGCTTCCTAGCGTTCACTGAGAAATCAGAAGGGGGAATTGTCCATGAGGGGAAACACGTTTTAAAAATGAGACTCTACACGTAGGGCAGTGATGAGTTGGGGAGGTGCCACAGGACTGAGGTGGACCAGGGTGTGTGTGTGTGTGTGTGTGTGTGTGTGTGTGTGTGCGCGCGCGCGCACACGGGCATTTATGCGTGTCCATTTACACATGTGCGCCTGTGTGTGCATATGTGTGGCCATATGTGTGTGTGCTCATGTGCACGTGTGTGTGTGGGTGGAGCCCGTGTGCTGGTATGAAGGATGTCCTCCCACGGCAGTTTCTTCTGCTAGACTCAGAAGTGACAGGCTAATTCCTGGTCCAGCCCTCAACCCAGGGAGCCCCCATCAAGGGAAACAAAGGGACATAACCCACAGAAGACAGGCCTATCGGGGTCAGAGGGACAACCTCACCAGCCAAAGTCCAAGTATAGGTAGGGACAGGCCCCTTCCAAGACTCCTGGCTCCTGGAAGCTACCCTGCCCCATCGCCATAGATCTACAGAAATCCGAGAGGAATGCGGGAGTCGGGTGGGGCTCAAGTCCACCCTCCAGACAGGACACGGCTCAGCTTGTTCCCTTCTGGAATAGAAGGACATTGCTATCCAGACTCACTCCTTCCCGGACACCTGATTGCTGGAGAACAAGGACAAAGAACTGGGCCCCTGGAGGTCAGAGCTAGGGGCTGGGAGCCAGCAGCCCCTTTCTCAGCTGGCCCAGCCCACGCTTGCCCCCATTCCAAAGGCCTGGAAAGTACGGTTTCTGGGGGCAAAAGGTGGCTTTCCCTCCCCCACCGCTGCCCCACATCCCTCTTAAGGAAAATTATTTTAAAGCCTGTCAGGCTTTCTCCTCTGGGGGTCCCAGGCTAGAGGGACTCCTGCCCAGCTGACCCGGTCTACTCTGTGGGGCAGGAAATAGGCCTGGGAATTCATGCTGCAAGCTGCTGTCAGTGGAATGAATGTCGTAATGAAAAAATAGTTGCTGTTGGAATAGTCAGGGAGCAATTGTAATAAAGAAGATCGCTATGAGAATCAGCGGAGGCGGCTGCCTTCCAGGCGGCTGGGAGCCTGAATAAATGCAGTAGCAGAGATGACAGGAAGGTGGCAGGGATGGAGTGCTTTCATTCCCCCTCCTGAGGAAGGGGGAGCACAGCCCAAAGATTTGGTATCTTGCTGGTAGCACCCAGGGCTGCTGGGGAGAAAGAGGGTGATGGGAAATGCCCTGGAGGGTCTTCTCAGAGGCTTGTCTCCTCTAGAGCCCGCCCCCTCCCTGTGTGCCCTGCAGGGCTGTTAGGTCCCTCTACCCCAGAGAGAAGGAGGGATCCCCAGCAGACGGGGTGGGAATTGCTGCCCAGATCCTGAGCTGGGAGAAGAGAAGAAAGAAGCCCCGGGAATCAGGAGACAAAAGAAAGGTGGTTTTCTTACCCTGTACCCCCATTTTGTTGCACTGGCCTGCCCAATGGGCAAGGACCTCTGTGAGGATCCAGGCTCCTCCTGGGTCCTGGTGCTGGACCTGTCCATCCATGGTAGGGAGTCCTCCTAAATAGACAATGGAGGTGGGGCTCCCTGGGTGCTCTAGGTCTTTGGTAAAGAGCTCCCAGGCCCGGGAATGAACCCCAACCTGCTGCTTCCCTGCTAGGACTCCAGGATAGGTGGCACCTGGCTGCTGGGCCAGGGTAGTTTAGAGTGTGGGCATGAGAGACAGGGGCCAGCGCCCTGGCTTGCCCCAGCCTTCTCTGCCTCACAGAAGCATTCTAGGGACCAGCAGACTAGACCAAAGAGAAGCATGGAGCCCACTTGCTGTTGCCTCACAGCTGGCCCCTGATCTCCCCCTCCCTTCCAGTTGCCCGTCTCTGTCCTACTCCTCGGACCTGCCGGCCACCAGTGTCATCATCACCTTCCACAACGAGGCCCGCTCCACCCTGCTGCGCACAGTGAAGAGGTAAACTGGCCAGGGCCCCTTATCTTGGTGCTGGTGCCCCCATGGTCTGCCTAGTCTGCAGAGCCTCTGGCCAGGCAGGACCTTGAGATCGGGTGCTGTGGTCAGGCAGCATGAAGACCAATGGGCACTGGGAAATCGAGTTCTGTCCTGAGGAGTAGGGGCTGGTGAATCAGGGTCAGAAGATCCAGAAGTCTACAGTAGGTAAACAGAAGGCCAGGGAAGGGTGGGAATGCAGGATTCAGAAGCAGAGGGAGACAAGGAAGGAGGAGGAGGGTGAGAGCCAGCCAAGTAGGTACCTGCTGGTGAATCAGAGAGAGGTGCTCCTCGTCCTCCTCTAAACTGGTTCTTGTGGTCAGGCCTAACCGCCACTCACCCCCTTTCCTCAATGAACTTAGGCCAGAATGGGATTTGGAAAGGTTACCCTGTGGTGTTTCATAGACTTCAGAAGTCTGAGTGCCCTTTCCCAGAGAGACAGGGAGGAGCGGGAACAGAGCAAAGGCAGGAACAAGGACCTCTTGAGAACACCTCTCCCACACTCAGGGACAGCAGGAGCCTGACTGGCCGCCTGTGCGGGCAGCTGGGCTGTCCCTGGGCAGCCTGGTAAGCTCAGCAGTCCCTGCTTCTGCCCTGACAACCCAACTGGTGCAGTTTCTCCATCCTCGGGGGCTGTCCCACGTCCCGAGGGCCCAGGCAGCGGTGCCAGCACTTGCAAGAGCCTGCGGTCACAAGCGAGTCTCAGCTCCTCAGCAGGGCCCAGAAGTTTGCAAGCAGTTGCAGGAGCCAGAGCGCTGGCCCTGGAGCTGGGTAGTGGGAGCGACCCATGCACAGGGAAGGATGGATGGAAGGTGCCCCTAAATCTGGGCTCCTTCTCTGTCCCCACTGCTGTCCAGTGTCTTGAACCGGACTCCAGCCAGCTTGATCCAGGAGATCATTTTAGTGGATGACTTCAGTTCAGATCGTAAGTATTCACTGTCCTTCTTTGTGCCTTTCCGTCCCCACCCCACCCCACTTCCCGACATAGAAGTGAACCATCTTCAGGATGTCCAGGCTATAATGCCCCAACCTCTCTGCCAACAAATAGAGACCTGTGGTCTTTTTCCTAGGACCTGTACCCAACCCTAGAGGGGAAAAAGTGATGCTGCTTTGGATGGAACACCAATGACATGACATTTAAAAAAAAATTGGAACAACATCAACAGCATCCTTCATAATTACAACTGCCAAGTGCAAAAGAGCATCCCTTCTGTACAGCTTTCAGGAAGAGCCGGGCTGCCCGACAATGCTGTGCTCTCTGGCGCCCCCTGGTGTGAGGCTGGGGAACGCCACGGAGATGGGCATTCCTCAGGCTGGCCTGGGCTGGGGGCGGGGCATTCCTTGGCAATGAATCCATACTCCCCGGTCCCGGTCCTTCCCCTGGCCTGGTAGGGGACAGCTTCTGGGCAGTTCCACGTCAGCCAAGCCACTTGTGGTGTGATGCTCACATCTGAATGAACTTCCTTGCACCCTCAGCTGAAGACTGTCTGCTCCTGACCAGGATCCCCAAGGTCAAATGCCTGCGCAACGACAAGCGGGAAGGTGAGTGCCGCAGTGCACTGTCTCTTACCGCCCCACTCCTACCGAGCCAGTGCGGCCCTGCTGCCCTCCTGATGGCTGAGGCCAGGGTCTGGAGAAGACCCTCCTTCAATCCTGGATCAGCCCCATCACCGCACAACTGTAGGCATGGCGCTCCACTTCTGGCTGCTTTCGTTGTACCTTCTGAGAAATGGAACGATGACAGCACCCTTTCTGCTTTACAAGGTTATGGTAAAGATTAAATAGGAGAGGCCCTGTGGGCCACGCTGGAGGAGGAGACTCTGTACGCAAAGGCCCCAGTCAGCGAGGAGGGCACACAGGGTCCAAGGAGCATCCACTTGGCCCACATTCTCCCATTTGATCCTCATAAGAGCACAGTGTCCCCATTTTGCAAATTGGGAAATTGGGGTTTCTGAAGTCTCAGTGATTTGCTCAGCTTGATGAAGAGAGGGCTCCAGATTCTAACCAGATTCATCAACGTGAGGGCCAGCCTCTTAGCCTCCCTCTACTTAGCCTCACTTCCCCTGAGAATCCAGGTCTGGTCTGCAGGGAATGGGTGGAATCAACTGAGAAGGGAAAGACCTTAAAAGCCAGAAGGAAGCATTTAGACTTGAGAAGGCAGATAGCAGAGAGCCACTGAAGGCTTGACAGGGAGAGAAGAGTGAGACAGATGTGTGCAAGGAAGACCAGGCAGGCCGAGGGGCCTAATGACTGGAGAGAAAGCCTTGTGGAGAATTGTCTCCTCAGCCAGCGCATTGTGGCTGCCATCAGGCCTGCGAATATGCCGTCCACTGAGTTCCAGAATGGATATAAATTCAGATTAGATGCTTTCTGGATACCTTTGGAGTAGGAGGATGGGGCTGTCCGGCTGTTGCACAGGTAGATGGCTAGTTAGATAGGCAGAGGCACAATGTCAGGCAGAAGTGTGGCCAGGAAAATCTCTCCAAGTGGTAGCTTGTATCAGAGGGCTCAGAGCGAGGCCCTTTCCTCCCCCGCAGCTCCCAGGCCTGGATGGCAAGGGCAGGACCAGCTGGGTCTCCTCTCTCCTGACCAAACGGGCCTCAGCCCTGAAAAGCCCATTCTTTGCTTGCCAGGGAGCAGCTGCAGAGAACACTGGGAAAAGGGGGCAGAAGGCCAGAACCAAACATATCTAGGTCCCAAGCACCAGGCTCTCCCCATGTCATCTTTGATCCTGACGAGCAGAGCTCATTATCTCTCTGAATCTTATAGATAAGAAAACTGAGTTTCAGAGGGATTAATGCGCTCAAGGTGAGTGAAGGGCTGGTATACAAGGTCAAGTGTATCTCAGTCTGGAAGATTCTCTCCACGTCACGCCTGGTGGTGTGACTGGTGGGGACCACCCAGAGGTTCCCAGGGGAAAGGGCTTTGTTTTCTGGGGTTCCTTCAGGACCAAATCATACTTTATTGATTTTCCACGCACTGAACTTGACTGTCCATCAGTGCCTGGCCTGTGGAGATGGGTAACGGATGAGGAGAGGAAGAAAAGAAGGGAAGGAATGAACTAAAGGACAGGGGGAGGCTGAATAGTACCTCAGCCCCTGAAGGGAAAGGGAGCCCCAAGACTTTGGGGCACATTGGGAAGCAGATTGGCTCAGTCCCAGCCCCAGTTGCTTCCTCTCCCATTCCAGGGCTGATCCGGTCTCGAGTTCGCGGGGCAGACGTGGCTGCTGCTGCCATCCTCACGTTTCTGGACAGCCACTGTGAAGTGAACATCGAGTGGCTGCAGCCTATGCTGCAGCGGGTGAAGGAGGTGAGCCGTCGTCCCTGGGCAACCTGGGCGTCCTTAGGATTTCCTGCCAGGTTCCTGGTATGAAGGAGGATGACACAGTATGTGGAGTACGATGGGCATCCAAGGAAGCCTCAGTGATGTGCTCTGTGGTCTGCTTCCCCAAGGGGCTGGACCTCCCTGAACTCTGTTGTCTGGAAGCAGGGACAATTGCCCTGTTTGTCCACGAGTTGTTGTGACAACTTCATTTAATGAAAGCTCCCACTGTGCATAGGTTGGTTTTGATCCTAAGACAGGCAGGATTCTGTGCTGGGGGAGCTGCAGCCAGGCTGGGGAGCCCTAGAAGGATACAGGAGAACCTGTAGTTCTCATGGAGAGGAGAGGGTGGGAGGGCTCCTGTCACGTCCCTGCTGCTCCCCAGAATGAGAGCATGTTGACAGATGGCCAAAAAGGCTCAGGCCGCTAAAACTCAACCAGAAGGAAACAACAGCCCAACTTTAAAAATGAGCAAAGCACTTGAATAGATATTTCTTCAAGGAAATATTCAACTAACACCATGGGAAGATGTTCAATATTATTAATCATCCAGGAGATGCTACCCTAAGCCATAATAAATACCACTTTATATCTACTAGGATGGCCACATTAAAAAAGATGGACAGTAACAATTGCTGACAAGGATGTGGATAAGTAAAAACCTTCATATATTGCTGGGGAAAATATAAAATAGTGCAGCCACCTTGGAAAATAGCCTGGCACTTCCTCAAAAGTTTAAATAGAATTACCATCTGAGCCAGCATTTCCTACTGCTAGGTGTGGACCCAAGAGAAATCAACACCAAAACCACACCCACACAAACACTTGCACTGGTGTATTCAGAGAGACACTATTCGGAACAGCCAAAAGATAGAAACATTAATCAGCTGATGAATGGATAAACAAATGTGGTATATCCATGTAATGGAATATTACTGAGCCATAAGAAGGAACAAAGCACTGATGTATATCACAGTATGAATGAACTTTGAAACCTCAGGTGAAGTGAAAGTCAATCACAAAAGGCCATGTATCATAAGAGTCCATTTATGGGAAATGTCCAGAATAAGTAAATCCATAGATTTTGTTGGGGGGACGAAAATGTTAAGAACTAGAAAATGGTGATGGTTGTCTAACCTCGTGAACATACTAAAGACTGCTGAACTGTACACTTGAAATAGTGAGATTTATGGCATGTGAAATCCTGTCTCAGCCCCAAAACATCTCAAACAGGAAGCAGTAAGGCCCCCACAGAGCAGCAAGAAGTTATGCATGGTCTCCCCTGCTCAGTCCCGTCTCCTTCCCCTGTTCAGTTATGCTGGGGATGTATGAACTGCATGGCAGGGCTGGCTGCATCCCAAGCTACAGACAAGAGGGTTTTGAGGGTGAAAGAAGAGTGGCGAAGAAGCACAGGGAAAGATGAGGCTATACCCACAGAGGGTAAAAGGAAGGGAGCTATGAAGTGTGATTAAGTTTGCAAGTGGTTTATGACATAATCCACTACCACCCAAAAATAGTGAAATCCATGCTATGTACTTAGCAGTGTTTCAGGTTGGACTTGTGTTTTGGAAAGTGATGAACAGTGGCCAGTCTTTCCTGAAAGGGGATGTGGCATGAAAGGAGTGGCCCCCCATCCACCTCATCCAGGAACCGTGGGGTCCCTGCCCTCAAGCTGCTTGCAAACCAATTGGGAAGACTCAGCCCAAATGTGTACAGAGGTGCATAGTGCACAGAACAGCGACTCCAACCAGCAGCACAAGAGCCACCTCAGGCAGCAGATGAGTCACTATCCCAGCCATTGTCTAGACTGTGACTATGAGAGCAGCTTAAAAGATGGGTATACTTCAGATTCAGCATCAGTGAAGGCTTCACTGAGGAGATGAGACCCCAGTGGGGCTTGAAATGATGGGAGAAGAAGAGGCCAGGGGTGCCTTGTGCCCAGGGGATTCCAGTGGGGCTGTCGAGGAGCCAGACACAATTCTGGGTGGCCCTTGGGATATCTAGCAGGAAGCACTGGCTGCCATGTGTCCCAGAGAGACCTGCTCCCCAGATCAGGAGGCTGAGTGATTTTTGCAGGGCAATCCCTGGCCTCACACCATTTTGCACCTCTTCTCCTAGGACCACACTCGAGTGGTGAGCCCCATCATTGATGTCATCAGTCTGGATAACTTTGCCTACCTGGCGGCCTCTGCTGACCTTCGAGGAGGTGGGTCCTTCTCCCAGGGGAGGGGATCTGGGCCTGAAAAGGAGCAGGCTGAGGCCAGGCAAAAGCCCTGGCTCTGTGCTCTTCCCAGCTGTGCTGGAGTCTGACACTTCCCGCTCCCCCAACCCTTCCTTCCAAAGATAAAATGAAGAGGCCCTGGGGGACCCCTGGGTTTGAGGTCAAAGGGCCAGAGAAGACAGTTGCTAGCTCCTGGCACAGTCATTAGCAGAGCCAGGCCAGTCCTAGTCTTTCCCTCGCTGAAACTGGCAACAGCCTTCCCAGATGCTGCCAGACCAGGGCCTGTGGCCAGTCTTGGCACAAGGCCATCTGACAGCTGTCTCTAGCATAGGAGAGGGGAGCCTTTGGCCTGGCATGAATTCCTAGGATGCTCAGCCCAGAGATGGTCAAGACCTTGCTGTGGGATACAGTGGCTGTTAACCACAGTCGGCCGAGGAGCTCTTGAAATGTGACTTGTACTCAAAGGTGACTATTTGGAATTGAGATGTGCTATATTTACAAAAAACACACTGAAGCTTGGAGTTAATGTGGACGAATGTAAAATATCTCATTAGTATTTTTATATTGATTACATGTTGAAATATTATTTGAAATGTATTGCATTAAGAATATTTTATTCAGATTAACTTCATGTTTTTGTGGGGTTTTTATGTGACTCCTAGAACATTCACAATGACATACGTGGCTTAGGTTTGTGGCTTGCCCTGTATATCTTTCAGACCATTCTCATTTTGACTCCAGAGATGTGCTATTTGTTCACAGTAGTCAGGGCTACATTTGACTATTGATATTTAAATTAATTAAAATGAAATAAGATTTACAATTCCATTCTGTAGTTGTACTAGCCACGTTTCAAGTGCTCACCAGCCACATGAAGATTTGCTCCCACATTAGACAGTGCAGAGAAAGAACATTTCCACCCTTGCAGAAAGTTCTGTTGGACACTGCTGTTCTAGAGACTGTGGTCGGGAGCTACTGGGCATAGAGGATTTCCTGTTCAGAGCCTGGGCTCCCGATTCTGAGGGAAGCCAAGTATTTTCCCTTCGAGGGAATCACCTCAGAGCCTTTGCACTTGCTTCTGCCCCTGCCTAGAATTCCTTTTCCACAGATAGCCTTGTGGATCCATCCTTTAATCAGGTCTACACTGAAACATCACCTTTTCAGAGAGCCTTTGCCCACTATCCTTACTAAAATAGTGTGGGCATCTACTTCTATATACTCTTTTTTATGCACTTTTCACCCCAATTGAAATATTATGTTTATCTGTGTAGTGTCTTTCTTGCGGTGGATCATGAGTCCCAGGAAGGCAGAGGTCAACTCATTCTCTAGGAAGGAAGGAGTCACGGCATGCGGAGCCCAGGGCCCTCTGGGATCCAGCTGTATCGATGGAGACTCCAAGGGGGGGTGGAGCGAGGGGGACAATAGCACCCACTGGACTTTGCCCTGTGCCCCATCCTCACCCTGCCCTGTCCCTTAGGCTTTGATTGGAGCCTGCACTTCAAGTGGGAGCAGATCCCTCTGGAGCAGAAGATGACTCGGACAGACCCCACCAAGCCCATCAGGTCAGGGCTGCTGTGGGCTTGGGGAGCCCCGTCCTGGCCTGGGAGCCTGGGAGGCGTGTGCGAGGCTGGATCAATTGCAGGGCTCCTGAGGATGCTCAGCCTGTATTCTGGGTCCTCGGAGCCCTGGGCCCTGCCTGCAGGGATGGGGAGGGCAGAGGCCTGGGAACCATTGTGAGAGGCCCTCAAGTTGGCCACACATCCTGCCCCAGTGATGCTGCAAGCAGGGACTGGGGACAAATGGCCTGGGGTCTTAGAGCCGCTGAAAGGGCTCCCAGCTTCTCCAACTCAGTGTTGCCCCTTCCTTCTCTTTGTCCCCAGGACACCTGTCATAGCTGGAGGAATCTTTGTGATCGACAAGGCCTGGTTTAACCACTTGGGAAAGTATGACGCCCAGATGGACATTTGGGGAGGAGAGAATTTTGGTGAGTTGGGAAATAACAGTAAACACAACTGCAGTACTGATAGCACTGCCTGAGCATATTCTATGCAAGCCATTGAAGGACTTTACACATATTAACTCATTTAAAACCCACAAGAACTTTGTGAAGTAAATACTGTCCTCCATTTTCCCAATTAAAACCTGAGGCATTCGATCCCTGGTACCAAAAATAAATAAATAAATAAATAAAATAAAACCTGAGGCACAAGCTGGGTGTGGCTTTGCACACCTGCAATTCTAGCATTTTGGGAGACTGAGGCAGGAGGATTGAAAGTTTAAGTTCCACCTGGACAACTTAGTGAGACCCTGTCTTAAAATGTTAAAAAAAAAAAATCAAAAGGGATAGGGATGTACTTCAGCCTGGGTTCAATGCCCAGTACGAAAGACAGAAAGGAAGGAAGGAAGGAAGGGAAGGAAGGGAAGGAAGGAAGGAAGGGAAGGAAGGGAAGGAAGGAAGGAAGGAAAGAAAGAAAGAAAAGAAAAGAAAAGAAAAGAAAAGAAAGGCATTGAGGCACAGAGAAGTAAAACAGTTTAACCACAGCCACATAGCTATATCTAGACAACAAAAAAGCTTAGGTGTTTAGAGGGAGGCTGTGACCACATGACTAGAACACATGGACAGAGCATGGAGCACAGCTGCTTCCCACTAGAAAGGCTGGGCAGGTGCAGCAGGTAAGCTGTGGGGTTGGAGGCCTGGGTGCCAGCCCTGGCCCTTCCACCTTCAAGCTGTTTGGTTTGGGGCAAGTTAAAGTCTCCCTGGACCCCAGTTTCCTCTGGAGGTTGTTTGAGTAGGAAATGAGATGATGATAAAATGTGTCCCACAGGACTGGTGGCTGCCATCGCTGAAAATGAGGCTGTAGAGACCACACCATCCCTAGCAGGGCAGGAAGTGGCCTGAGCCCCCAGAATAGCAGAGGAGGAGCCAGCAGGGGTAAAATGTTCACTAGGGAGCGTGATTCACTGGCCCCCACACCGCTGCTTAGCTGGGTGCTGGGGCTGCAGAGCTCTACAAGTGGTCACCAGGTCCCACATAGGTGTGCTGACTGGTGGCCTTGGGTGAGCAAAATACAGGGGACCACAAGGGACAGGATTATCCAGGGTGGGGCCAAGACTACAGGGTGCTGTCACCACCCTGAGGTCGGGAAGACAGGAGGGAGCACCCCCGACAGGTCCTGTGGCCTTGGCCCTCAAGCAGCCAGCCCAGCTGGAGGGTGTTGGGGATAATTTCATCTCCTACTGGTGCCTGCCAGTGGCCAAACCCATCATCCAGAGGGAAGGAAGCCCCATGGCGCAGCCCATACGAGCAGGTGAAGTAGGGCAGCAGGCCAGCCTAGGGCCTTGAGAAGCAAGAGTAGGCCCTTTGCATCCTGTAAAATACAAAGGCCCAGTTCCTGCTCCTCCCCTCCTTTCCTGCTGTCTTCTTTCGCATCCTGACCTTCTCTCTTTAGCAATGAGTAGGGCTAGTGGCACCTCGCTCATTTGGCAGGTGGGAAAACTGAGGTAGGTGCTGCCTTCCAGGTTTCAATTAGGAATCACCACATCTGACAGCGCCTGTAGCAGAGCCACTTAAGCACTGGGGGTGTTTCAAAGTCAAATCTGTTAGGAACGTGCTTTCCCCCTCTTCCCTGACAGGAGACTGAAATGTGCTTTCCCTGAGCAGAGAGGCTGAAACCAAGCCTGCTTGGTGCCAACCACATGGGTAGACACGGGTGTGGGATTTTCTCCCCTTGGACTTACTCTTGGAAACAATTTCCAGGCCGGCATTGCAGGAGTGAATTCTGTGAACCGGGGCTGCCATGACCCGACCATCCTGACCTCCTTTCCTGTGTTTTGGTCCTAAGTGACCTCCTTTGTGTCCTGGGTCTCAGCCTGAAGCCAGGTTTGACAAAGCCGGTTTCCTGTAAAGACTTTGAAAGCTGGGAAAGGAACAGGCTCCTCTGCTTCCAGAGACCTCTTTCTTTCTCTTTTTTTTTTTTGCG